CATTTCAGCAGCAACATATGCACGTCTTAGGCATGCATACCGGGATGTATGACCTTATTGTGTTTGAGCAATAAATTAGGTATTCATACACTGAACATACCACAGGTCACTTGAATATCTGCTGCAATCACATGAAGAATTTACGATATCTGATAAAGCGTTACACTTGTAATTCGAGAATGTGATTGGAAGTTGGGGTACAACTATGTTTTAGAATGTTTGTAGACGTATAGCTATTTGGCAAAGTTTTAACGCCGAAGCGGGGTGAGGCGCACACAATTCTTAAAAACCAGAACAATGCAATGATATGTGAGCATGGGAGGAACAAGCAGTACCACAAAAATTGTGCTCGAACGAGTGAACTGATGCTCAACTTAGCACTTGCACAGCTAAGGTACGGCTATTCGGCCACTCACAGACAAAATGTATTAACCCAGGCGTAATTGCAAGCTTTGCGAACCACACTTACAGCATGCTGTGTGAAGTTTACGCTTACTTAATTAAGCTGAAAATTGTGGTAGTTTAATAATATACATGCCCGGTGGATGGAAACACATTTATTCACACAGCAAAACACCTTATAGTAGTCACACGCATTTAATGATCATGTAGCTGTTGAAAAAAAAAGATGCGTAACATATAAAACTATCTTCAGATAGTTCTTTGGCCCAGAAAACGAATAAGGCCGGGTAAATACCGACGCGGACACCACGTCATTCTCCGTTATTCTAAATTAAATACGCTAAAATATTATTCAACACGAATCACCAACATCCTCAAACGCACGCGACAGACACACAAACGATGCTTACGGCTAACAGCCGCAGTCCCCAAACGGCGTTCGACGGTACAGCTACAATATTGTGACTCCTAGCGTGCAGGGCATCGCCCCACCTCTGTTCAAAGCACCCGCGCGCCGAATCACAGCCGCACAGCGCACATTGCTTTAAAATCGACCCCCTCCCCTCATAAAAAAGCTCGTCCGCGCGTAACGTCACCGAGTTTTGATTTGTGCTAAAAGCGGTGCAGAGCACATCGCGGTGATAGATTCATTGATGTTATGCTACGGCCATATTAGTATACATTTCTGGAGGTCATCCGTATTTCAAATGATTACTTTCGCCTAATTTTTTTTTTTGATGGAGGAGACAATTTTTTGCACTATTCAGCGAAACATCGTTGGTAAATGTGTGCTGCATCCATTATATTCGCGAAGTGGTGAAGTCTGTGATTCTTAAACGTGTGCTCTATCCTTGATATTCGCGAAGGGGTGGAGTTTGTTTATTTCCTTGATTCTATGTCCGCTTTTCTGTCCGTAAATACGCACCATTTTTCGCAGTGTGGTGTTACGTAATTTTGTGCCATTGAAGTGCTTATTTTGAAATACCATCTCGTTTTAGTAGTCCGCATCGGGTTAGTGCACTTGAAATTGCCCGCCTAAAGAAGTGGAATGTCCCACGTCACTGTTGCCGTGCACAACGTTGCCCGGCTTTACTGCGTGGCCGCTGGCACTATTAGCAGCAGAACGAAAACAGCGGGAGCCACCAACGATACTAGACTACCTATTCTAGTAACGTTGGGAGCCACAGCAGCAAGAACGGCCACTGAACAATTTTCTGGCAATGGCTCCGAGATGGCAGACGTGCTTGCTTCAACTGGGCCTCACTAGATGGCAGGACCTGTACAGTTTAACTAGAGTGCCTCGATGCGCACGCCCCCCGCTTGGAGCGCGCGGCATCAAGGCATCCTAAGACGAGGTGAAAATTGAACTGTTGAACCACTCGCGCCATTCCTCATAGTAACTCCCGGCAGCCTTTTTTCCATGAATCAAACAGAAACGAACAAGCAGCATTTTCTTACGTGTCATAATGCACGGAATTATTTTTATTTAGTGCAGCTAGTTCGATTACTAGTGATTAGTTACAGAATGTAACTTTAACGTCATCGCGATCATTTTGTGAATTTTCTACAGCAGCACATGTGTTCTCGTGCATTTACTTTAATTTCTCGGTAAGTAGGTCACTGCTGGTGATAATATTGTCGTTTTACACGTTGCCCCGCCTTGGTGGTCTAGTGGCTCAAGTACTCGGCTGCTGACCCGCAGGCCACGGGATCGATTCCCGGCTGCGGCGGCTGCATTTACGACGAATGTGAAAATGCTGTAGGCCTGTGTGCTCAACTTTGGGTACACGTCAAAGAACCCCAGGTGGTCGAAATCTCCAGACTCCTTCACTACGGCGTCTTTCATACTCATATGATGAATTTGGGATGCTGACCTCCACATATCAATCAATCAAACCGTTTTAGACTTACATTGAGCTTTCAGTCTTTAGTGCTCCTTCAAGGCTATATCAGTCAAGCAGCCCCCGAAGGCGAGGTCGTCTTCTCCTGCCGATCAAGGTCCGCAGCGTACGAGTTGCGGCCGACCAAAGCGATGTCTCTCTACGGCCAATTTGTTTTATTATTTTACTTTTATTCTGCCATGTAAGTATACGAAAAGTTTTTCTCTGTTCGTCCGCATCAGTATCGGATCCGCACATCAGCGGCGAGATGCAATAGCATGCGTACGCAGTACTTGCACGCCACGCGCATGCTTCGCAAATTCTTGCCGCCGAGCCAAAATGGCATTTTGGAATATCATTTGGCTAATCTAGAAACATTCATTGTGATGAGGACTGACACTTCCGTTTATGAAGAGAAGGCAGGCATAAGAATTGTATCATCCTTTCTAGATTAGGCTTTCTCAATTCAATTACCTGACTTTACCCCTACTTACCAAGCTGAGATACTGGCAATAGTCCTAGCGTAAAATGCAATATATATCGGCGGTGGTTGTTCCAATCGACTGTCTCTCTGTCTGTGCTGCCTTAAGCGCACCATATTTCGCATACCATTTCGCGTACCATTCTACTCGCTCATTCCTGGACATGTGCGACTCGTTCGACTGGATTCAGTACCAGGCCATAGATGTCTAGCTCTGAATGAGCATGCAGATGCACAAGCTGTATCTTCTCTTGATGGTCCTGTTCTACCTATTTTGCCTACTTCTGAATATATCACCACAGCACGTTTTGAAAAACGTACAACGGCCAATGATGTCGAAAAATCTTTAGTTTATTATCAGACTATCCACAGCTAATGTTCCCTTGGAAGAACAAGGGGTGTTCATCAAGAAAGGAGGAAATAGTGGTTACAAGGCTGCGTTGTCGAGTTCATTCATTGAACGTTTACCTTCACAGGTCGGGTCTGGCACAGTCGCCTTTATGCCTTCACTGTGATGAGAGTGAATCTTTGGAGCACTTCTTTTTGTCATGCCGAAGATTCAAAAGGCAAAGGAAAAGACTACTGGAAGAACCCCTACGAAAGTTGGACTGAAACTAGTCACTTCCACTGATTCTTTCATTTGGCGCCATCGCATTTGGTTTTAGCCACAGGAGAGTTTTTTACCACTGTTACAAATTTCTTACGAGAGTCTAAAATAAAGGAATGCTAAACGTAGCTAAATTTATTTGTTTTATGCAAAGACATTTTTTGTGTGTTTATTATGTCGTCCGTTTTAAAGACTTTTTTTCTTTTTTTTGAAATCCTAGAATTTTAAATTATTACCTGTAATGCCTAATGAATTCAACCCTTTTCTTCAAGAAGTGAATTAGTTAAAAAGCAAGGCACCGTCCGATTCATGGCCTATCCCCCAAGGTGGGTTGCACCAAGAACCAACCAACCAACCAACCGACCAGCGCCACTTCGTAGCATGTATTCCTTTTGCTTCGTAATAGGGATAGAATAAAGTGGGGTGCCTAATAACAGAAAGACTACACTTTTGAGCATGAATTTTGGCGTGCCTGAATAACATCGGCGGTGGAAAAAGACAGACTCCCCAACACTCCCCAACTAATAATAATAATATAATATAATAATAATAATAATAATAATAATAATAATAAATAATAATAATAATAATAATAATAATAATAATAATAATAATAATAATAATAATAATAATAATATAATAATAATAATAATATAATAATAATAATAATAATAATAATACTAATAATAATAATAATAATAATAATAATAATAATAATAATAATAATAATAATAATAATAATAATTTATTGTACACATCCATAAGAAATACAAAGAAACAGACCTGTCTAAGTCCCCAGGACTTGTGCGACTAGGCCCAGCAGAGCCGGTTACAGCGATGCGGATACAAGGTAACAAAACTATTGTTGGTTCCTTACCAACGAACAGACAAACGATTAACACCATTACTTTTTTGCAGGCAGTAAAAAAAGAGGAACAAAGGAAAGACACAGAGCATACGAGGCATACATATAGACCATGTAATAATAATATTAATAATAGTAATAATAATAATGTTAATAATAATAATATAATAATAATAATAATAATAATAATAATAATAATAATAACCGTCACACCACCATTACGAACAGACTCTCTAAATAATGATGAACCTAGAACAAGAGAGCCTTGTTCGCAATGAAGGAATGCTTGGTGGTGTTTATTATATGTTTGTCGAAAGATGTAACGCGCTGGCGTTGCAACGTCAATTCTTTCGTTTTTTTTTTTGGGGGGGGGGGGGGGCGAGTGTACGTATTTTTTAACCAAAAGTTTTTTCTTGCCAGAGGAGTTTTCGTCAAGCCCTAGGTTTCAACAACAGTTATCAACGGGCGGTAATCAAAACAACTCATTCGCCCAGCACCAAGGTTTGTTCCGTCAGGCGACGCATTGTGCCAATTTTTGTTACTTTCAAAGGCGATTCAAAAGTACAACTATTCGAATCGCTAAATACGTGCTAGAATCTGTCACTACAATTCACGGTGTTTTTATTTACACTGCCATCTTTTGACCCGGTCTGATCGATCTTGTTACTTAGAGGAACACAGCCCGCGTAGCCAGAACCGAAAAACGAAACGGAACCCAGCTGGAAATGCGCAGAGGCATCGCGGTGCGCATCGTGGGTTTGCCGACCGCCGACGTTGTGCCGGCGCGCACGCTGCTTGCTCGTGCTTCGTCTTTTGTTGCTGCTGCTTCGATAAAGGTTCACGTGGCATTCGTGCAGCTGTCGGTGCCAGGAGCAGAGGGGCATTATTTTTCGTCCTAGCTATACTGACTCGGCTGCCGTGAACCACGCCGTGCAACCAACCGCCGCAGCCGTCTTCTGCTATTTCCTCGACTGCGCAACGGCGTGGAGCTGACTGTGTCTACAGCGGACTGTGGCTTTCGTCAACCCGTGTTATGGCTTCGGTACGCTGTTTCGGAAGATAACTTGTCCTCCGATTTGCTCCTTTCCAACGCCGCTTTTGTTCCAAGCGAGCAGTCGCAGTTAAAGTGGACGCAACGCCCCGACGTTCCATTTCACCGGCATCATGAAACGGTAAGCGTCTGCTGTCGGTGGTATTTTTATTTGGTATGGATTCGTCTGAAATTCTTGCGCGCAGCTTGCACGTCTGCTTGTGTGTTGAACTACTTTCGCTGGAAACGTTCACTACACAATCAGAGTGGGCGTCGTTTGTCGCGTTTTCGTAGGATGGTTTTGTAAGCGGCCGCTCCTATTTTCGAAGTCTGAAATAAACCTGCCGCGTAGCATAGGGGCCAATGCCAGTTAGACTGCTTCACGAACGAGTTGAGCTGCTAAACCCGGAGTACGAGGGTTTGAATTCCAACCGCGGCGACCGCGTTTCGATGTAAACGCACAACGCATAACACATGGTGCAGTTCATTGCCCCGAGTTTCACGTCAACAGCACGCGAAAATATATTATCATTCTTATTTCTGGCCACGGAGAGGGTTCTTACTAGAAAAAAAGGCTAAAATGTTAGTCGAATTGGATATTTAATATTGCACAAATGTATTAGTCGTTAGTTTGTCTAACCATACACGTGCAAAGTTTTTTCAGCTTATAAAAAGTGCTACTTCACAGGCCATATTTCACCCTTCCCATTATTAGTTTGAATTTTAAGGCATCCGAAAAGCGCAGCATATGAGGCACTGGGTATTACAGTAACTTTAAAAAGCCAAAGTGGTCAAAATTAACCTGGAGTGTACAGCACATGCCTCATAGTAGGCGTCGGGTTGCTTTTTTTTTCACTTTTATTACTCCAGTGACCTAGTCTCTGCCTGTACACCTTCAGCATACATAATTTTGCATTTCAGGCGCTTCAAGTATTTTCGTGATGTGCATTAAACAGTGGGGTCCGCATTCGCCATGCGTGCTCGGTTCGTAATACTCATGAGCTGTTCGCGATTGCACTGAGCTGTTCAATTGAACGTTGATGCCGCTGTATAGGCGCGTAGCGCTTGCTTTTCTTCATTGAGGGACATAGGCATCTACCAATTATCTTCAAGTTACTCGGCCGCGTGCGACTTGGTATAGTTCATGCTTGCGAATTTCGTGTGTTTAGCCACCCCAACCGAGTTTCAACAAACCTCGGCGGCGTTTCCCTTGCCTTGGTATACGTTCCGTTGCCCTAACTGACCACCTGCATTACGTGGCCTGGCCAGCAATGTTGATTCTTTTAATATGAGCTCGGGTATTTCTCGCAGCGATAGAGAGAGAGAGAGAGAAAAACGTTCTATAGCAGCTGGCCCCCCTCTGCTTGATACCATCATACGGCCTACTACGAAGAAAAAACAGCTCTTTGTCTGTGCTCTGCACTGTTAACGTTTAACATGCCCTTTGCAGAGAATGCTCAGATTACATTCGATGTTCGCGAACATGCGTTAGTGCTTCTCAATGTAGAAATTCGAATGCCTTTTGCTTGCATCTGTTATAGTTAGTAATTCTTGCTTTGTATTTGAGTAAAATACTTTGCAACGCAATGATTGAATTTTTGATCTCAAAGAAATGTAAAATATGCGAATACTTTTGCCAACAAACATATTCAAGGCACGATTGAGGCAGCTTCGGGAAGTTTCTAGTTGGACATGTTTTTGTTACGGCGACAATTAGTATTGGTTGGACGTTCCAATGGATAATATGAAAATAATCGAGGAGTGTCGAATCACCAATGCCATGGCGCCACTGTTTCTCGACGCTGCCCACACATCCTCCTTGCAGCCTCTTCATAGCCTAGCAATGTTCGATTTCCGGAGGTCATGCAAAGTCAATCTAAATAGGTCGCGAAAGTCGGAACGAAAAATGGTCCAAAAGCTATTGCGACACTTATTCACAACTGCGTGACAATTGAAGCGCGATTATAGGTGAGGGGCGGACAAATAGCGAAAACGAAAAAAATATTTACGCGTTCATTTTCAATAGTTGCAAATTTACTTGATACAAAAATTAGTAGATTACTTTAATGAACCTTTGGTCATTGTTATGTGGTTAAGCGCCCTTCTTTTTCGTTTGGTTTTAGAAACAGCGGGCACATGCAGGCAGCCTGGTAACATGGGTTAACGGATCTGGGGGCGTATCCAGGCATTACGCTATCAGAGCTTGTGTTTATATCGGCGTGTGCTTTTGGTTCGGCGCATTACCAGGTCAACGAGCTATCGCTCACTTTTCCGTGGTGGTTTCGTGCGTACCTACAGAAGTTTACCTACTTTTTATGTGAATTACATAGCTCAGCTAGCTCACAGAATGTGTAGATAGCCGCCCCTGTGACTGCCGAGTGCTTTCGCAGGCGCACGGCCGGCGTTCCCTCACCTAAAATAATAAAAAGGTATTAAGAATAAAAAACCTGGTGCTTCATTATTTTTTTTGCACGAAATGCACGTGTTATACGTAAGTATAAGTAGGCACACGCACACGTGGTCTTTTGACTACTTTTTTGACCGCTGGTTTGTGTGTTCACTTCTCTTTTTTTCTCCCGGTTTGGACAATGGCATAAAAGTGCATCGGAGCCTACTAAATTTTGTCTGATAAAGATCGGTCTACGATGGAAACAATTTTTTAGAAGCGTATACTTATTTTACCATATATATAGATATATATATACGACTGGTGCGCAACCTAGAATTTGAGTAACGACTTCTTCGGCGAGTTGGTTCATTCTTGCAGTAGATGCGCCAAATGAAGATTTGAGACGGACAAGCACCAGCTATCAACCGATTTTATTAGAAAGGCACATACATACATACATACATACATACATACATACATACATACATACATACTACATACATACATACATACATACATACATACATACATACATACATACATACATCAGGTCGCGGGTTCAAATCCCGGCTGCGGCGGCTGCATTTCCGATGGAGGCGGAAATGTTGAGGCCCGTGTGCTCAGATTTGGGTGCACGTTAAAGAACCCCAGGTGGTCAAAATTTCCGGAGCCCTCCACTACGGCGTCTCTCATAATCATATGGTGGTTTTGGGACGTTAAACCCCACAAATCATCATACATACATACATACATACATACGCATACACACACACACAACACACACACACACACACCACACACACACACACATATATATATATATATATATATATATATATATATATATATATATATATATATATATATATATATATATATATATATATATTCTTCTATGAGTGGCAGGCGCTCTAGCAATTTCTCAGTGGCATGCAACGTGATAGAGGGCCTCGGTATACGCATGTCTCGCCCGATCTGTCAATAAAGTACACTTTCGCGCAATCTTCCATCCTTCCATTTCAATCTTGAAAGCATCTTAGTTTCTGATAGCAATGATGCGTAGCCGCACTACCTGCAATGCAAAGAAAGATTAGAACAGAGCGTCCCTCTCAGTGAAGCCTTATGATCTAATATTCTGCTATTCAAACACCGACCCGTCTGCCCGACATAGCATTCTTCGCAAGATAACGGTATATCATAGACTGCCTTTTTGTCACACCGAACTTGTCTGCTTCTCGTCCTTATTTCGCACTAAAGCTACCATAAAGATTATTTGAGTACGTGTCCTTGGATTTTCACGCGCACAGAGGCAGTATCTCGTGATTTCAGCATAAAAATGACTCGCGTGCAAAAAAAAAAATTCTGCTGTTCATTGTTTCTAAAATTTTCGTCGCGAGTGAACATCACTCGAGTATCAGCAATTACTGCAAGTTTTCGAGAAGGAAATCATTCTGGTTTTGACTGCTCATGTTCTATTGTAAATATTCTGATTATTATTGTTGTGTGTAAGCGACCAATTTTTTTCGCATTTCTATGCGTAATATAAGCTCACGAACACTTGCACAAATATGTCCAAATGTGCGTCGCCCTCCCCCTCCCCGCAAAACATTTCTGGCTACTTTCCTCATAGTCGTAGTAAATTCCCCACGAACTTTCCTCGCTAGCTTTGGCTGATATTAGCTCCAAGATATCCTACAGTGAAAATCTACCGGACATCCCACAGATCGCCCCGCCTCTAGTGACTAAGGTACTGGGCTGGTGACCCGCAGGTGCCGGATCGAATCCCGGCTGAGGCGGCTGCATTCTCGATGGAGGCGAAAGTGCTGTAGGCCCATGTGCTCGGATTTGGGTGCACGTTAAAGAACCCCAGGTGGTCGAAATTTCCAAAGCCATCCACTATGCCGCCTCGAATGGTGGCTTTGAGACGTTAAGTCCTGCATATCAATCAATTCATTATCAACGTGAGCACCAGTGGATGTGAGTAGACGCTACTCCGTATATGAGCGTGACTGAGTTCTGGCCCAGAGTGAGTGCGAGTAATGTCAAAGAATGTGAGAAACAAATGTTGCGAAGCTTATGCGTTAACGTAAGTGAAACGCGTTAGTATAACAGTGTATGTGAGGGTGAACAGACATGAGAACCATTGTGAGTAGATTTGAGTGAGCACCTATACACGTCAATATATACACGCGAGTATGAACGTGAATGAGTACACCTTTGAGTCGGATTTGACGTGGTTAACAAGCTTGTGATGTTAATCTGTCCCTGAATTCTTTACCTGTCTTGAATATTGGTCATGCGTGGATGTCCAGTCCAGAGTGCCCAGTCGTAGGCAGCAAGAAAATCATGCACAAGTGATTATGTTTTTTTTTTCATATATGCTTCACATTTAAAAGTATGCAACGGCAATTGCGTATAATGACAGCTCGGAGTTGACAAACATTGAATAGCCGAGGGTGCTGCGACAGCTGCATTTTGTTCTAACGATGTATAGTGTACTGTTGAACAGAGCTACACATAAATACAAATCCGAGAGAAAGTAATTACATTAGTGTTGGACTCAATTCTGAGTTCGGCCCATCTTGGCTCTTGTGCGATTTCTCCCTGGGTGGAGAAATCTGTGGCTCTGCAATAAATTTTTTTTTAGTACTTGAAGTAAACCGCCGCAACCTTTTTTAGGCGCGTGGCAGAACTCTCTTTCGTACCTGTGAGACTGGGCGTCTTGCTTATGGATGTGGATGGATGGATTGGAT